GTTCCATGTATTTTTAGAAAGAATATATATCCTACTTTAGAATATTGAATGGAGTTTTCTTTAAACACTACTTAGGTCAAGTTGGTTGATGGTGTCATTCATGTCTTATATATTTTTACTGATTTTCTGTTCACTTGTTCTATCAATCATAAAGACAGGGGTGTTAAAATCTCTACTGTAATTTGTGTTTGTCTATTTTTCTTTTCATTTTTATTTGTTTCAGCTTTGTGTATTTTGAAGCTCTGTTATTAGATGCATAAACATTTAGGATTGTTACATTTCTGAAATCCACTTTGTCTAGTAGTTGTTCCAGCTCTCTTGTGACTAATGTCAGCCTTGTTTTTCTTTTTTCATTCTTCTTTTTTTTTTTTTCCTTTTTGTCTTTTTTACTGACCGGTAACGGGATCGCAACCCTCGGTGTCGCGCCCATGCCGGGGACCGGCAACGGGATCGCAACCCTCGGTGTCGCGGCCGCACCACGCTCAGCCAGCGAGCGGGAACCGGTCTCCACATGGGATCCGAACCCTCGGCGGGAGCACCGCCGCGCTCCCAAGCGGCGCACTCTCCAGTGCGCCACCGGGCCAGCCCATCTTTTTTCATTCTTCTACTTTTAACCTCTTTGCATTAACGTATTCAGTCTTTCCTGTAGTTTCTTGAAATGTGGTTATAGTTACTGTCCGAATGTCCTTGCCTACTAATTTTTTCCTTGTGTCATTTCTGGGTCAATTTGTGTTGATCGATTCAGCCACAGTATGGGTTGTATTTTCTTGCTTCTTTGCGTACATGGTAATTTTCGATTGGATGGCAGACATCACCTTGTTGGTGCTGGTTATTGTATTCCTATTGTTATTCTTGAGCTTTGTGCTGGGATGTGGCTAAGTTACTTGGGAACAGTAACTTTGATTCTTTCAGGTCTTGGTTTACTGGCATGGTCCACACCATGGCAGGATCCTAAAGGAGTCAGCTTGGGCTGCCCTCTCCGAGTTGGCAAGGCCGCAGCTACGAGCACTTGCTACAACCGTAAGGATTCCCGCCTCGGCTTCGTGGCTTTTGCCTTCTCTTTCGATATTTTGGTTAGCGTGGCAGTTCTCTGAATTCCCAAAAGATTATAAAAATAACACAGATGATTTTGCAGTCATTGAACTGAACATTCCCACAGAGGATCTGAGTAAATTGGACAATTTAAAATTATCCCCTTATGATAATTGACCACACCAACATATATTCCAAAAGCACCGCTCATGACTAAATATGAGCTGCAGCCTAATGTAAGTTGGCAAACATCATTTACTGGAGATTATATTAATGGCAAGAGAATGCTTGGCATTAATGAGAAATTATATGATTGGGACAAATTAAGTATATGGGAACGAAACTGTAGAATCCCCTTTACTTGGTGGTGTCCAGTTTTAATAAATCATTAAGAATCAGGTGTTGGGATAAAAATATATGCTGTAAAATTATTAAACCTGCAAAATTAGATCTTAGAAAAATAAGAGAGTACACCTAGTTTTGCTAGGGATGGTGCTGTGTACAATGACACTTTAACATTTAGATCAAGATTACAGGGCCACAGCAAATGCATAACCTCAAAATGTGCATGATAATGCTGCTCAAATATCCACTATTCTTTTTCCATATGAGCAGTAGGTTCATTCCATTAGAACATAAGATCATTAGGACCCCCATTAGAATTTAAATGTTAGCATTTTTCCTTTTAGCAAATTTGTACTTACATTTAACAATAGACATAGGTCACATGATAGTACTGTCTATCACTTTGCAACTGCAGTAGTCCCACCCTGTTAATAGGGTAGATATTAACCACAGCTTGCCAACCAGAAAAGGTCACAGGTTAACTTCAAGACAATGAGAAGATGGTCCTGATCTGATAACCTAATACCAAAAGGAGGAAGCACCAGCTAATCACCTCAGATGTGCTAACGAAGGAAAAAAACTGGCTTCCCCTGTCCTTTTTATTTTTTTTCTTTTTCTTTTTTTGTCTTTTTTCGTGACTGGCAACAGATCGCAACCCTCATTGTCGCGCCCGTACCAGACCGGGACCGGCAACAGGATCGCAACCCTTGGTGTAGCACCCGCACCTCGCTCAGCCAGTGAGCGGCCGGTCTGTATGTGGGATCCGAACCCTCAGCGGGAGCGCCGCTGCGCTCCCAAGTGGCACACTGTAGCAGTGCGCCACCGGGCCGGCCCCCCTGTCCTTTTTAAATTATTAATTCAAGCTTGCTGATGTAATAAAAATAGTACCCAAAAACCCCCTGCAGAGAAAAATCTAAATAAAAGGCATTGTCTCATGCTCTTCTGGGCTCCAGCTGCAACACGCTGAAAGCCTGCAGAGAGAGAACATGCATACTGATGCATTGAGGTCTCTGTCTGGGTTTGTTATTTTCGCCAGCTTCCTCATCCCTCTTTCAAGGACCCACAACTCGACTGGAGCTGGTCTTCGGCAGTTTACCTTTGTTAGGTGAGACCAGAACAACATTTAGTCTAGGGCTGATTTTATTTCATTACTGAAACCTTCTGAGCACTCTACCCAAAGCCCCATGAGTTATGATGCTTCCACTCTAGCTCCTAGGAGCAGGAGTCACTCATGGCTCTTTCTAAGCTCCAGATATGGTTCTTGCTAATCCTTTTGGGTGACTCTTTACCTGGGCATGGGTAGTTTCTTCTCACACATGGAACTAGTATTAGTTTTCTGATGCTGCTGTAACAAATGGTCACAAACTTGGTCAGTTCTTGAAGTCAGAAGTGACATGGGTCTCACTGGACTAAAATCCAGACTTCGTTCCGTTCTGCTGCTCTGGGGAGGGTCTGTTTCCTGCTTTCTCAGGTTGTTGGTAGAATTTGGTTCTTTGCATCTATAGGACCAAAGTCCCTGTTTTCTTGCCAGTTGTAGCAGGGTTGTTCCCAGCTTCTAGGCCACCCACAGCCTGTCTCAGAGCCTCCTTGCTCCATGTTCAAGGCCAGCAATGGCAGTGGAGGCTTCTCATACTTGGCATGTCCTTCCCCCATGTCTCTCCTCTTTGACCCTGCTGGGAAAGGTTCTCTGCCTTTGAAGACTCGTGTGATTATGTTGGCTTCACCCAGATAATTTGGGATAATCTCCCCATCTCAAAGTCTGCATCCTTAATCTTGTCTGCTACATCCCCTCCGCCACACAAGGGAATGTGCTCACAGGTTCTGGGGTTAGGGTGTGGGCATCTTGGGGTCCATTATTCCATCATCCTAGTGCTGCTGATCTCACTGAGTGCCCTGAGGACCCTGTGCAGGTATCCCAAGCTCTCTCTGGGAAACTCCTTCTCAGCTGCTGGTGCTGCCTGTTGTCCCTGACACCCCCAGCTCTGTGTCATCACCTCAGAGCTGCCTCACTCCAGCCCTCGGGGCTCAGCGCCTCCGGTTCTCAGTCCAGCCCTCCCACCCTGAAGCTGCAGCCTAGTGGGACCGTCCAGCTCTTCGGTCGCTCTCGTCTGGGTGGCGCGGGGCGTTTGCCCTGCTGTGCTGCAAGCAGTGTGCAGCTTCATTTCCTGTCTTCCCCGTGCCTTCCAGAAGCCTCAGAGGGGAGCGTGGCAGGGTGGGGGGTGGGGGGCGTGGACTGTGCTGCCACTGCTGGTGCCCCTCTTCCACCATTTTCCCGGTTCCAGCAGCAGCGGTCTGCTCATTGTCTCCTCTGTCCCCTAGTGCTCTTCAGGGCTCATCCTCTTAAGACGCGCATCTTTTCTATCCTTCCACTGGGCTTGGTGACTGCGCCCAGGGCCAGCCCTTTGCACAAGCCTCCTGCTGATTACCCCTCCCCGCCACCTCCTCCATGAGCAGCCCAGTGCATGTCACCTTCCCTGCTTCTCCCTGCGCATCATTGGGCAGGAATGAGGAATGAGAGGGGACAGAGGGAAGCAGAGGACATGAGCACTGCAGAGCAGCTGCAGCCACCATGAGGGTGGCCCATGGCCTCTCCAGTCTCACAGATCCATGGAGAGTGTGGCACAGGACTTGAGCATGTGACCACACAGTGCAGAGGCAGATGGATCTTGCGTCGTTGATGGGCTTTGTTCTTTGGGGCCTCTTGTTGCAAGTGGTGCTTCGAGGCCTGTGGCATTTAAGAGGCTCACGTAACCCTCTCGCCTTCATAGGCTGGAGAGGGAGGTGCTCAGGGAGGCAGAGGCCAAGCTTGCCCAGGACTGGCGGGGTGAGGCGCCACCAGGGACCTCTGTGGACGGGCCCGTGTGGGCCACCCTCTTGCGGGAGGGCTGCCAGGTGCTCCGGGTAGAAGAGCTGCGAATTGTTGAGGGTGACAGTGCCATGTGTTAATGACAGGAGGAATGGCCTGGGGGGTGTGGCAACTGTTGTAGTTTCTGCTCAAGTTCTCTGCAAACCTGAAACTGCTTTACAGATAAAGCCTGTTACTTAGGGGAAAAATGATGGATCAAGGACATGGGCAATGGTGCTGCATAGAGGCAAAGTCCAGCGGCCTGGACCCTGCCTGGTGGTCTTGGTGGGTGCAGGGCCACCGGTGTGGCAGAAGGCTGTGCCTGGGCTGGAAGGACAGGACGTGCTGTCCAGGGAGTGCGAAGTGCAAGGCTATCAGGGTTGACAGAATAAACTGCAGCAGCTGCCCCCGCCCCTGCAGTTTTGCTTTCCAAGGTTTCAGTTGTCCATAGTCAAAATATATTATATTTTGAGGGGGTGAGGAAAGAGATCCAGAAATATTAAATGGAAAATTCCAGAAATAAACAATTCATAGGTTTTTTTTTTTAATTGTGTCTTTTACACAAAAACGGTAACTACCTTATATTTTGAGGGGGTGAGGAAAGAGATCCAGAAATATTAAATGGAAAATTCCAGAAATAAGCAATTCATAGGTTTTTTTTTTTAATTGTGTCTTTTACACAAAAACGATAACTACGCATCATCTTAGGTACTGCGGGGCTCATGAATTAAATCTTGCGTTTTTCATTATTCCAGGTTGGAAAAGGAGCTGTCGCGTTCGCGGTGGGCCTGCAGAAATGACCGAGTCCTCTGTGACAAGTGAGTAAGCGAGTCGCCAGGGCCCGTGGGGCAGGCTGAGGCTCCGGTGGCGCCCACAGAGCCTGGCGTCTCCACTCGCACTCGGGGGCCTGGGTGGGCTTCGGGTGAGCTTGGGGGTCTCGGGCAGGTATAATTGTCATGCCTGCTGCCTTCGAGTTTGGGACTTCGATGAGCACGTGGCATTTAGTAAATGTGGTTTTGAAGGAATGACTGTTGAGTGAAAGTGCTTTCTCCAAGCTGTGTGACAAAATACTTTAGACTGGGTAACTTACAAAGCATAGAAATTTCTCACACTTCTGGAAGCTGGGAAGTCCAAGATCAAGACACCAGCAGATTGGTGACTGGTGAGCGCTGCTCTCTGCTCTGTAGATGGCACCTCGGGGCTGTGTGCTCACATGGCAGAAGGGACCAGAGGGAGGGGCACTCCCTTAAGCCATTTTATAAGGCTGTGCCCTCACGACTTCATTACTCCCCAAGGCCCCACCTCTTAATACCATCACCTTGGGGGTTAAGTTCCAACATACGACTTTTGAAAAGACACCAACATTCAGGCCATAGCAGTAGCGGATATTGAAGCCAAGAGGGGCGGATCTGCCCCAGGCCCAGGCCAGCGTGCACTGAGTGGGGGGGCCCTGGTTGCTGTGTCAGCTTCCCCAGCTAAGGTTAGCAGCATGCTGAGGGCCGGCTGTGTGTGCGGCTGGGGATGGGGCAGGAGCTCTGCCCCATGTGTCGCTGCTCCCGGGAGCTCTGTCCAGAGGGGTGTGCCACACTCGGGTGCTGTGCCCTGAGCTTGAGGGACACTGATAGGCCTGGAATGTCGTGGGGGCACTGAGAGTGAAGACGGGGTGGTAAGGAAGAGTCTGTGGTGCAGGTGGGGACTGGGATGCTGCCCAGTAGGGCAACGCAAAGAAGTGAAGCCATCAGGACAAGCGAGGACGGTGCATACTCAGTCCCCAAAGACAGCAGGCTTCACGCGCATGAGAGAGACCTGGGGGCCTGCATGGGGGGGGGGTCCCAGTTGGACAAGGAGGTACAGACACACTTTAGGATGGGCCAGGTCTGGTGTATGGGGTTGCACTTGGCCTTAGATATAATCAGATCTTATTAATTTTGATCAGTCTGTTACTGGACCCATCTAGCTCCCGGCTTGATTCGCCCAAATTTGTTAACAGGCACAGGTCTGGTTGCCTACCCCATTTCACAAGCAAACCACTCACAAATCAAGTGTTTGTGCACATGGAAGTCAGCTTTCATTCAGCTATACCAGTGACCTGGGGAGAGAGAGTAAACCTGAAGGAGAGCGGCCAGACTAAAGCCATCTCAGACTCAGATTTACTGAGTGGTTTTTAAAATGGGGGCTGAGGGAATGGAAGGTGGGAAGTGAAAAGCAGGAGGAAGGGGCACGCGAGCAGCGAGGGTTCCATGTAAAGTCTCAGGTGCAAGGTCGCACCGACTCCATTTGGTGTCTGCTCCTGTCTTTGCTGTTATCTCGGGGTGTGGGTAGAATGTGCGAGTCTTTAGCTTCAGGCTGGCTGGAAAGCAACTTTGCATTCATGTAAATAATGTCATCCTGCCCCATAACCAAGGTCCAAAATATCAAATAACTGTGGGAAAAGAGGGAAGCAGAAAATTGCATGCCAAGGAAAAAACCGTGTCTACAGCTCCTGTGCTTTTAGGTCCCAACATGGCTTTAAAATTTGCCTACAGTCCATGTGGCTTTAGGTCCCAACGTGGCTTTCGTCCTGCTCCCTCCAATAAGCCCATTTGTTTAACTGTTGAACCTTGGAAATGGATGGCCCTTAAAAGTCTAGCTGCCTGCTCGGGAAGGAGTCCTTCCCCAGAGGGGAGACCAAGTCACGCTTCGTCTGTTCCTTTGCCCTGGCAGGTGCCTCTGGGGACAGCCTCATTGGCAGCATGGGCATGGTGCTGGCAGAGCAGAGGGGAGTGGGACATCCTGGCCCCAGCCTGGAGGGTCTTGTTGGGGGAGGGGCTGGTCAGTGCACATCCCTCAGATGCCCAGCCTGCCTGTGGCCAAGCGCAGGGCCAGTGGTCACAGGCCAGGTGAGGCTGGGCTCCCCTGCAGAGTGCTGCGTTCCTTCATCCATTCCTTGATTCCCATCTGGTCCTGCTAGGCTGAGCACCGCAGGACAGGGGCTGGAGCCTTTTTCCTTCAGTCTTTTCTCGTTGCTGGTGTCCCTGGCCCTTCACTCCGTGCCTGCTGTCCAGGCATTCAGTGTAGGAGATGGATCATGGAGAACCCCACCTGTCCCGAGCACAAGGAGTGCTGCTCTGGGCACTCAGGGAGGCTGCTTATTAAAGCTGCGTCTGTGTAGGTTCTTTGTGGAGTGCAGCGGGTCTGGCCAAGCCCAGCTGGGGGTGAGCCATTGGCCTCGTGGAAGGCTCAGGCCTCACGGTCATGGCTAGAACAGCCTCGTGTGTGCCTGTGTGGTAGGTGGCCGTGTTCTGTCTATCTCACAGCCCTGGTCAGGCAGCTTCTTGGCGACAGTCGGAGTCTGAGCCCCTCAGCCCTTCAGCTCTTCAGCCTGCCCCCTCAATGCTCCTGACCCCTCAACAGCACAGGCGGGGCAGTTGGGGTGGGGCGTGGGCCATCTAGATGGAGGGAAGGACACACGTGAGCTTCAGGTCAGTGTGGCCATGGGGATGGCAGGTGTGGCTGAGGGAACAGCAGGCATGGCCAGTGTGCAAGGTGCCAGGGCCCGTTGGGCCCTGTAGCATCAGGCTGGTGGCAGTGCCTGATGTGCTGGAGTGTTGCTGTCTCCTGCTCTGCGTCTGTGATCTTCAGAGGCTGATGGGGTGTTTGCTGTAGGAGTGACAGGGGAGGCATGGTGGGGAAAGCGCTCAGGCCTGAGCACACTAACCGGCTTTGTTGCTGCAGAGCTGTCCTCTACCCTGCTGGATGCCATCACTGACAAGGACCCTGCAGTGCAGGAGCAAGTCCGCCGTGCTCTGTGCTGCCTCGGGGAGGCGCAGCCGAGGGAGACGCTCTGCGCCTGTGCGAAGTACCTGCAGCAGCATGACCAGGTATTGCTGCCCCTGGGATGGTGGTGTCATCAGGGCCACCCTCGGTCTGTGCTTACCTGGTTTGGGATGAGACAGCCTCATCGGGAGCAGCAGTTGGGCACCGTGCCAGGCTGCTGGCAGAAAGCTGCATGCCTCAGCCGCCTCGGGCCAGGTGTTTCAGGACAGGGGACCTGCCCTGTCCCATCACGGGTGTGGTGTGGCTGTGTCCCCCAGCAAGCTTGGGGTCTTGTTGTGAGGAGACTGGGCTGTCACCAGGCAGTGTTCTGCACTCATGGACAGAGACCGTCTTCCATCCCCTTTTACCCACTGAGTGGACCCTGAATGGTTCTCCCTGCTGAGCTCTGTGCCTGTAGCCAGAGGGATAGATCGTAGTCCCTGCCTGTCAGAGAGAAGGTTGTTTCAAAGAGTCTCACCAGCTCAGGTGTCCAGGAATATGCTGCTAAGTGCTCACAGAGTGTGCCAGGGGCCCTGGGTCCACCGGGAGGGCTGGTCTGAGGTTGAGGCAGCAAACATGCCTGCTGTCCCCACAGAGGAGCTGCCCCAGGACCCCGTGCCCTCATACAAATGCTGCTCACTGAGCAGAGCCATGAGAGACTTTGGCAATCTCTCTTTGGCCCTTCAGCCCCAGGGCAGAAGCAGAGTTTCTGCCCTCGTTGAGGCAGCAAACATGCCTGCTGTCCCCACAGAGGAGCTGCCCCAGGACCCCGTGCCCTCGTACAAATGCTGCTCACTGAGCAGAGCCATGAGAGACTTTGGCAATCTCTCTTTGGCCCTTCAGCCCCAGGGCAGAAGCAGAGTTTCTGCCCTCGTGGGCCTGAGCTCCGTAGTTCTCTGTAACCTCCACCCATGTTAGATTCAGTCCCTGAAGTCGGGATGCTCCTTTCCTAGTTTTTCCCAGTGTGTGGTTTGGGCCATTCCTGGAAGGGGAAGAGACTTTCATAATCTCAAGAGACCTCAAAAAGTCCTTTATGTAAAAAGGGACCTCTGTGCGATGTATTTTTCTCTTATCTGTCAACTACCAGCTCCTCAAAACTGGCTCTGTGACACCTTGGGGGAGAGGGTCTCTGTTTTCTCACCTCTCGGCCGTCTTGGCTGCCTCGGCTCGTTGGGAAGATGATGACGGTCCTGGGCAGGCGCAGCCTTCCGCACTTGCTCCTCCAGGTGCCACAGCCACGGGTGCGGCTATCCGGGCCCTTCCCCGTGTGGCCGAAGGGCCCCAGTGCTGCCGTGTGCTGAAACCAGCATCTGTCTAGGACTGCTCTTGCTATCGGAGCGAATGGCCAAAGAGCACTAAAGGTGGTTCACAGAGCCGTTGTTACTTGCAGCGATGGGTCGCAGAATTCAGGTGTGTTCCGTGCTTGTCTTGTCTTAGTTCGTTTCTGATTATACCGCTTCTCTAGCCTTCCAGTTTTTTTATAGACTTTTTAAAAAAAATTCTTCCTTCACACTGGCATGGTCATGGGGAATGTCTGTTGAGTTAGAAGCTGCGATCCTGCGGGGTGTCACCCTGTCCAGGCACCCCCTTCCCTGAGCCGTTTCCGGCCATCCCGGCTCACGCTTCCAGGTGCAGGCTGGCTACCTCCATTCCTGCCATTTCTGTTTCACCGAAACTGTGCCAATGGCCGCGTTCTGGGCAGTGTGCACACTTAAGCCCCACTGGGTCCCTCTCCAGAGGGACATGGGACAACAGAACATAGCTGCCGCCGTCCCTAGGTGTCAGACGTCAGGCCAGTGTAGGGCACACGTGAGGTTTTGCAGGTATTAGTGCTCGTCTGGCGTCCATGTGTGGTTCTGTTTTGAGCCTGGAGGCCTGCGACTTTGTAGCACACAGCTCAGTGCTGCCGAGGGCTTCTGGGGTGCGTCTCTGCTCCTGCACAGTGCGAGGCCCCACGGCTTTAAACAGGTCCAGTCTCATATGTGTCAGCCAGGTTCTAGCGCAGGACAGACTCCTTCTCAGGGGCTGTAAGGCCTTGGGGATGTGCCTGAGAGGGAGCCAGAGGAGCATGTCTAGATGAGCCAGTCTCTGCACTGCTGCAGCCCCTATGTCCACTCATGTCATGGGCCTGGGGGCCACCTCGAAGGAGCCCACTGGGATACCTGCTTGTCGATTCCAGTCACCTTGTCAGCCTGGGATGAGCTCTTCTGATGGTCATTGGCACTTCCTACTTATACACACCCTCAGATGCCCACAGGGCCGTGCCTGCGTTGACCTCTCTTTAGCAGCCAGGTCTCCGTGGCCCTCCTGCCCGAGTGTGGCTAGGCCATTGGCCACTGCCCATGATCAGCAGAAACCCAGGCACAGGGGCGCTTACCACCGTTCAGTTCTTCCATCTCTGCTGGGAAAAAAGCTTGCAGTCCAGCCCGCTGAGCTGATCTGTTTCACCCTCTTCTGTCAAAGCAGCATCTTTCTAAACGGGACGTTGTTCGTTCCCCTTGGAACTGCCATCCACAGACGCAGCAGCCTTTGTCCGGTCAGTAAGAGCTGTTCGTAGGGCACCGTCCAAGTGATGATAGAATCCGGCAGCTCTTCACGCAGTTCCAGAGTCAGTGTGAGGGGAAGAAGGGCTCCCTGCTTGTGAGTATCTCCTCCTCGTGTTTCCCAGGTAGCACGATCCTATATGAACCATCTAGATTTTCTAGTCCAAAGTCCCAGTAGTGGTTGCTGGGAGGTGCTCACAGGCTCTTGCCCGAAGCCCCAGTCAGGCTCCACATGGGGCTGTCCAGTAGAGAATTGTCCCTGCCAGCACTGCAGCTTCTACTCCGCACAGTGTGGGCTCGGGCAGTCGTACTGGCTCCCATTGAGCAAGTCCAGTTAGTGTTGCTAGAAGGGCGTGTTTATGTGCCTTCTGCTGTACAGTACCAGGCAGGGGACACAGTCCCCAGTCATATGCAACGTCCGTCCCATCATGCGATCAGATACCAGAGGTGCAGTCTCTTCACACGAAGCGGTTCAGACATACCAACTCTCCTGTGAACCTTTCTCTCCACTCCATCATCCCTTACCTTCCTAACTGTCGCCTCCACCAGGACTTTATCAACAGGTCTTGGAATCACTGAGCATTGGACTTCTGTGTCAAGGAGCCCCAGAAAAGATTCCTCTCCACCGCCTGGCCATTTTACCCTGTCTAGAGCAAAAGGCTTCAGGTCCCGCGGGAGGTTGAGCCGAGGGACCCTTGCCTGTTTGTCAGTCTGTCTCTTGTTACCCTGCCTGGCTACTGCCCCAGGCAACTTAAGATCAGATTTCTCTTTGCAATCTTTTTTTTTTCTTTTTCTTTGGGTGTCTGGCCAGTGCAGGGATTGAACCCTGGACCTGGTGTTATCAGCACCATGCTCCAACCAACTGAGCTAATTGGCCAGGCTCTCTTTGCGGTCTTTGCCTTCTGACTTTTTAAATATCTTCAAGCTAGTGAAATCCGGCAAACTTGTGGAACCCTTTAATGTTGAGGGACCAGCAGGGGCTCCCTTTGGTCCACCCAGTGTTCTATACTGTTATGTTAAGACCTCTTTTAAAAAAAAATTTAGTCATAATTGATTATACATATTTTGGGGGTTCAACATTGACGTATGTTGATCAAACCAATATTAGCAGATATATTATTACAAATCATACTTTTTCTTTATGCCCCCCCCCCTTTTTTTTTTTCCTTTTTGTCTTTTTTCGTGACCGGCAACGGATCGCAACCCTCAGTGTCGCGCCCGTACTGGACCAGGACCGGCAACGGGATCACAACCCTTGGTGTTGCTCCCGCACCTCGCTCAGCCAGTGAGCGGCCGGTCTGTATGTGGGATCCGAACCCTCGGCGGGAACGCCGCTGTGCTCCGAAGCGGCGCACTGTAGCAGTGCGCCACCAGCCGGCCCCTTTATGCCCCTTTTCCAATCTCTTCCCATCCCCCTTTCCCTCCCCCTCCCACCTCTGATAACCCTAGATACCTT